AAGCCCTACCACATTTTTGGGATAATTATTAATCCCCAACTAAAAAGGCATTCTTCCAAGTGAGTAATTTTTTATCCTATCAATTACAAAACCTTAATATTGTACTGTGATGTCATTGTCTAATAATAAATAAATAAATTAGCTTGATGAACCCATTTTTTTACACATATTAGTTACTATTTTATAGGTAGGGGGTAAGTAATTACTTAACAATAATATTATTTGGATCTCAGTTGCTAACATAACTTACTAGTCTAATTCATTACGATTATTGGATTAGTCGAGAATTCTAACAAATACTAAACTCACTGTCAATTCAACGATTATGAATAATTAGATCAATAAATTAAGTTCAAATAACATTGTTTGTTACTTTAAAGAATAAAATTCATTTTATTCACTTGTTAACTTATCATTAGACAATTACATCACGTAACAGTGATAATGTAATACAACTATTAGATGTGGCAAATTGGTGGGTTGGATTAAAATAAATTCAATCTATTTTTCACTCACTTATTAAATGAGTTATGATAAGTTGAATTTATAATGGATTGAGTTAAACTCATTAACTCATAAGTAAAATTCTTAATAGACATATACTAGTACACTAAAATATACACACACGTACACTAATATACTAAAATATTCATACTAATACATCAAAAATACACGCACATACTAACATAATAAAATAAGGGTCACGAATGGGTTGATTCGTGGGTCTCAATCGGTCACGTGTCNATTCAACTAATACATCAAAAATACACGCACATACTAACATAATAAAATAAGGGTCATGAATGGGTTGATTCGTGGGTCTCAATCGATCATGTGTCACACAAGTCATGGGGCGGCCTATGGGGTCACGGGTCATGGGTCAGCTTGCAGGTTATTGGTTGTAGGTCGGGTGTATTAGTGTTTGTGCGATTTTTGTGTACTAATATATGTGTGTGTATTTTTTAGTGTATTAGTGTGTGTGTGTGTGTGTGTTATTATTATTTTTTTTTTGGCATATTAGTATTATTTATTTGATTTCATGACTTGTGTTATATAATATAAAAATAAATACTCAATTCAATTGATACTCATCAATAATCAATATTAGCTCGTTTAATTAAAATAAGTCATATTATCTAATCTATTAGGGATAATTCGTGTTTAAAAGTACGATACAATATGAATGATTTTGAGAAAAATATTGTTTGTTGTTAGACAAGTCAATTTGAGACAGTCAGATAAATTTATTGAAATTTCTCCGATTAATTAATATAGATATCTAACTCATTTATTTATAGATAAATCAAACGCATCGATCAATAATTAATTAAAATTGTCATCTCTCGCAACCATGACAATGAATATTTTCCACTCCTAAGTGCCACTTGGATCCGTGGCTAATCGTTAATGTGTACTTAATTGTAGCAACCCAACAAATTATGGATTTAATAATAGAGGAATGTTATTGGGAATTAAAAATTTGACATAATTTATTGACATAATGATGTGACTTCACTATGATATTTAGATTGACTATGGACTCTATCAAATATTAGAACTTGATATTAATCCAATAATTTTAATGAAATCACATCATTATGTTATATTTTTAAATCTCAATAATATTACTCAAATAAAATTGTGGTGTAAGAACACGTGGCACGTTGCTGAATAGAGGTTTGATCAAACAAGAACGTGTGTGGTAAGAGTCAAAGTCAAATTTTATGAAATGAGAAAAGTCTAACGATTGGGCGGCTGCGATAATCCACCATTGAATTAACTTTGGTTGCCATAACCTGCGTACTGGCGTGTTTAAATTTTCGATCGGTCGTAAGTTCTTATCCTATCCGATCCTACCTTACTTTATTCAATGATTAGTCGTAAAAATCGAATAGAAATACAGAAATTTTTTTGATTTTTGACAATTTTTGGATAGGAATGCGGAATAATCATCCATTTTTGCATTTCTACCCTATCGTACCCACAATAATTTTTTAATATATATAAACTAAAAAAAATCCTAAACCCTAACCACATGCGGAAGAATTATGATTTTAATGTATTTCATATGGTTTAAAGTTTAAACTTAAATTAATTGTTATTATATTTGTGTAACAATTATGGTAGATTGATGTTCATATTTTCTTGTGTTTTATTATAATTCTTGTTGTAGTTGTTTTAGATTTTAGTGTTAATTAATTTATAGTGTTGTTAAATTGGTACATGTTATTTAATTAAATTGTTAAAATGATCTAAAAATTAATTGTTAAAAAAATATTTATCCGATTTCTTACCCGATTAATCGGATTGGAAGTTGAGTAGGAATACCACACCTGTCGGATAGAGTAGGCTAAAAAAAAAATTCTTCCCCAAAATATTAAGTAGAAAAACAAATAAACATATTTTCTATTCGTAGAATAAGGTGAACACCCTTACCTATGCAGCGCACCCGCCACTTAATCAACGTGGGGTCCTGCTGCTGCATCACCATCAGCTTGGTCGCTCATCCACCAATTCCCAGTTGCCCCAATTTGGGGTACCTTTTTGTCTCGAATCAAAAAAAGAAGAAGAGAATTGTTCAAAAGCAAAGACAGGTGGGATTGAGATTTTTTTTTCTTAAGAAAATGCTAAACGTATCTAATTGAGAATTCAATTTAGAGATCTAAATAATTATAATTTTTAGATTAAAGATAAGTTTCATTTAAAATTAATTTAATGATTGTATTAACTAAGATCTTTAATTAAGTTCGTGAATTAAGTCTCTATAACATTACTTATTTTGTTATATTTTCACTTTATTTCTCTCTAAGAAAGATGACTCCTTATATATAAATGAGGGATCTACTAATAAATACTAAGTCCTACTTAAATTTATGATAAGCAATCTATCATTAAGTATAACTGAGTGAAAGTATAATAGGGAAAATCTAGGTGTACAAAAACTATAATAAAACTCAAGGTAACTCAAGTGGTATTTAGTACGAGTTGTAAACTTATGCATCCAGAGTTTAAATTTTGATAATTCCTTAAAATTAAGGCATGAGAGATTTTATCCCTCATGAATATCTTTTAGTACCAACATGGATGACTTGTCTTTGACTAGACCGTTGAGAAAATTAGTCAAAGAGCACGTATATTGGTTCGAACACTCTTAACTGTTGAACCAAAAGAAAGAAAGAAAAATCATAATAATATACTAAAAGCAATGATATAGNGCACGTATATTGGTTCGAACACTCTTAACTGTTGAACCAAAAGAAAGAAAGAAAAATCATAATAATATACTAAAAGCAATGATATAGAAACTTAATTTGATGATTTAATCAAGGACTTAATTCAGTAAAGTTATCGTTTGATTAATTGTGAATTTCAATGTTAGGCAAAATTCACTTCTAATCCGATGGTTGCATTGAATTAAGTCTGCAGATTAGATCACTAAATTATGTCAAAATAGTATTTTCTATAAACTAATTATTACTTTATTAATGGTAATTAATTAAATAGATTAATAAATTATTTTAAATGGTCATTTTACCTAAATTTTAGTGAAGCTCATTACTACCCGAGACTTGATCCGACATGCCAGAGTTGGGTATGGGTCTTCTCCAATGACCAACTCGATTAGTAAGTTCAATTACAAAGTCAAGTTTGGCGTGATATAAAGGATTGGTATTTGTTGTGTAAGTATCAATCTTATCACGCATGCCCATGTATTTTCATAAATTCTCACACCTATTTTCTTTTTTTCTTTTTCAATATTTCAACGGACCAAGAACAACAAACGTCGTCGTGATTGAGTTATAATCATGAGCATAATTTTTTATTAATTATTGTACATCTCAAATTTGCATAATAACAAAAAGTTTAAAAAAAATGATTAAAATAATTTCTTATTTAGAAAACAAGTCGTTACACATTATTTACCTATACTACATAAAAAATGCCATTCATATTTCAAGGTTAGATTTAACACGATCATTCAGTCAATATTAAATAATTTATTGTTTATCAATATAATTTAAAAAATATAACACTAATCCCAATAAACCTATGACTCATTGTAATATACCATTGTGAAAGAGCACAAGAGAAGGGAATATCTCCCCTAGATTTCCTAAGATTTCCTAAGGCATCAAATTTGGGACTTCCCTCGAAAGTACCTTCCTTTATTTATATTATAAAATAAAAAATATTCACATATTTGTATTTAGTTAACCCTATGTGGCATACAAATTTCAACAGTCTCCTCCTGAGAAGTTTCAAATCCCANATTTATATTATAAAATAAAAAATATTCACATATTTGTATTTAGTTAACCCTATGTGGCATACAAATTTCAACAGTCTCCTCCTGAGAAGTTTCAAATCCCATCCTAACCCTCGTCTTCCAATAAAAAAGTGTTTTTTATTCATCTGTTTTTTTTTCCAAAGCGCACACACACACACACATATATATATATCAATTATTTTTTTAACTTATTTATCAAATTATATTTTTTCAATGCATTTCCAAAAACACGTGTAGTTGAAATTATTTTAGGCAAACAAAAATTTAAAAGAAACGTGTTTTATGTTTTGAAATACGTCTTTAATTAGTTCTTTTCTTTTTTTTTTTGAAGTTGTATTTTGAAAATATGCTTTCCATTGAATTTGTATTTTAGAAAATACTTTTTATTAAATTTTTTAAAAATATTAAAAAAGATAAGTATATCTTGAAAAAATGGATAGATGAATAAAAAATTCCAATAAGATCATCTGTGACAAGTCAATCTAGTACACAAGGGTATTTTCGGTATTTAAAGCAAAAATTATCAAATTACCAGAATGCCCTAAATCTATTGGACAATATAAATATACATTTCTTTCATTTTTGTATCGTCAAATTATTAATTAATTACTTTTTAATACATTTTAAATTTTCGTTTTAAAAATAAAATAAAAAAATGGCTTTGGAAATGTCTTCTCATTTCTTTTTTGAGTTCTCTGTCAGGTAAAGGCAGGCGATTTCATGCTCGTTTTTGACTCTCTTCTTTCTGTACTTTACGCGGACGCGACCGCCAACTTCAATCCGATTCTCTCTCTCTCTCTCTCTCTCTTCACGGGCTTTCTCTCTCCTCCGTCTTAGCGTTTATTTCGGGTTTCCCGACACCGCTCCACCGCCGGAACTCCACCGCACTTGTCCCCGCAAAACCTTCTATTCCGTCGGTCAACGGCTAGAGTTGAGCGTCTTCTGACTTCGGGGCGTGAGCCGAAGTGAAGAGGCTGTGCTTGATTGTTTTCGGCTGGAGTTTGCAGATCTGAGCAGAGGCGGAGTGAGTTCTGGGGTTTGATAGAGTTGGTTTAGGAGTGAATGTCGTTGTTGTACTGTGTTTGTATGTTGTGGTGAGTTTAGGGGGGGAATGTGAAGGTTGTTGATGGTTGTGCACGGACAAGGAAGAGCCGTGGTCGTCGGCGTGGTTGATGATGACTGGAATTCTTCAGAGAGATCGGAGCGGGAGGTGGTGGTGGTGTGCCAGTGAGGCTTTCACATGGAATGGCAGATCTTGTTAGCTATGGTAATGCCGACCCTGACATCGAGCAGGTATGTAAATGCGTTTAGTACTTGTAATTCATAGGAAGAAATGTCTTTATGTGGGAATTTCTGGTGCTTAGTTTTTAAATTTGTTTCATATTGTTCCGAAAATTGCTCATTAATTAAAAGGGATGACAAATTGGGCATATTTGGTAGGTTAATGTTTTTGCTGTAGTATTGCAAGATTCTAGTTTGGTATATTTCTTGCGGAAATGATAATTTTTCCCGTGAATATCCTAATGAATTTATATAAACATTCAAGTGTTCAAAATAAATCAAAAATAAAAACTGTTATTATTACTCGAATATCAAAAGGAGATTCCTCTCTGAGGAGTTCTACTTGATTGTGATATGGGGAGAGGCCCCTTTTTGAAGGTTTAACATTTTGCATTTTCTTCCAGTTGATTACAAGTTTGCTGTTTTGTGTTGTGAACTCATGGGAATTGGGAAAACTGATCAATTTGATGGGTGATAAAATAGAGCTAGTGTGTGCAGATCAATTGATGGGTGATAAAATAGAGCTATAGTGTGCAGATGAGGGGAGGAGTGGGCTTGTATCCTTACTGGATCATGGTTGTTTTGCATTTAACTGATTGGTACAACATTACATTCAGTTTGTTGGAGAAGAAAGGTCCGGTTAGTCAACAGCTTATAGTGGGTGACTGGGTGTGTCTTTACTATTTAGTTTATCCGAGAACATAGAGTAGCGAATGTCAACGTGTGCTGTGTTGTGTTGGAAGGCTATGCAAAGATGTCTCCTGCTGTATAGATAATATGCTGTGATGCTATCTTTTATTTGGGTGATATCTGATAAGTACTTTCTGATTGGTGACTATTGGTTATGTAAGCATTGTACCTGTCAAATTTTTCTTCATACATGCAAATCACACATTGAAGCTTCTAAATTATAACACATCTAGCGCATTTTCGCACATAAGGAAGGATGCACATAAGCACTAAATATGTTTTAGTCCTTAAGTTATGAATCGTCATGGTCAAGAATTACCCTTGACCTATATTCAAAACATAGCAAGACTTCATAATTTCATATATCTTACCAATCTCCCATGCTTCTTCAATAAATCTTGACACTATTATATTTCGTTCATACATCGAGAAAGACATATCCTGACTTGCAGGTTCATGTGGTTGAGTGATTAGGAAGTTTTACACACATGTCCAAGATTAAAGGTTTTATTCTTTGAGTGGGCTTGGCTGAAGTCTGCCAAACTTAAAACCGAGAAGTGTCGGTATATGGCTTATCTTTTGCAGACACACGTTCTTTGTAATATTTTCGGTTTCTTAGACTCCAATTATGAAAGTGAGGCATCCTTTTCCTTTTAAATAATGTTTTCTAGCAAATTTTGTCAGTGATAATCCAGAAGTACTATGACTCATCTTTGAATAGTCTGACATGTGTGAAACCCTGTGTCTTTGTTTTTAATTGCTTTCTCTATCTTTTGCAGGTGCTAATTGCTTTGAAGAAGGGTGTTCAATTACTAAAATATGGTCGGAAGGGCAAACCTAAATTTTGTCCATTTAGACTTTCTGAAGTGAGTTAGTGACTTAGAACTCACCTTCTTTCCTTTAACCATATCTGGAACGACTATAACCCTTTTTGTTCTTTGCATGGGTTTTGTTTTTTTCTTATTTCCATTTCCTTTTTTATTTTTGGTGTGTGTGTATAAGAATGTGGTAAAATCTAAGATTGTGAAGATTCTTGCATGCCATAACTTTATCCCTCTTTTCCATAGTAACAATTTGTGAAATGTTAGAATCTTGATGTCTAAAATAAAATGTTTTCCTTGATATGTTCATCATCTGTCATTTTATTGTACCGATCTTCACATTGAAATTTTAACATGCTTGTCCATGATTTGTAGAAACTCGTGGATCCCTTTTATAGTTGATATAACATTTGAATTGACTCATGCATTTAAGCTTTTACAGAATTTTTTTCTTATGGGAGTGAGTTGGTGTTGGATGGATCGTATGCTTTGTTGCATGGACATGGAAAGGGACCCATTCAAAATAATTGCATGCCCCTGACAGTTAGTGAAAGTTTAAGATAGAACACACAGTGCGTGATGCATTAACCATGCATCCAACAGCATAATATTTATTCCACGTCACTTTGTCAACTGTCATCTTCAGCGATCTAGTGTTCCTTTCCTCTGCATCCTCCTCTCTGCCTCATTGAAATATTCTTCATTATAACCCTTGTTGTTCATATTTTAATGTAAAATGAACACAAAGATGTTGCCAACCAACCATGAATGAAGGCTCCTTAACATGTATGGCCTATGTTGACAATCTAAAGTGGTGTCTATACTCTATACTAATACAGCTTTATTTTAGAAATCCAGAGTAGCATCAGTTCAATGGTGAATGTTTCAACCTGTCCTAAAAGGAATGGGTAAGATCGTCAGAAGTATGAAGCTATATGTACATAAATAACATATCTGCAATCTAATTAAAGTTTTAGGTTGACTTCTAAAGTTACTATACTCCATTTTCAGAGTTATTATTGACCAAAGAACTCCAAAACTGCTAAAATAATAGGTGTGGTTGCAAACAAACCATGTTTGTGAAGGGCTTGAGCTTGCTCAACTGTTTAATTAACATAGAAAGCTGAGCTTGGCCCTAGTTTTAAGGCTTCTTTAATTAATGAGCTGAGGCCGAACAGCCCTCAACTTAGGTGGTTAGACTCATGGGGATACTTTCTGTATCCATACTTTTGGTTAACGGTGATGAGGAAGGCTGTTTCTTTTGGTTGAATGTGGACCCTAAGTGGTAGGTAAGATTGTTAATCAGCCTTTTTTTTGACATCTTGATGGAACCATCAACTGATGCTCTTCATATGGTAAAATCTTGTGAGCAAGTAGTATTCACTTTGTGGTAGTTGGTTGCCTCATTTTTATTGGTCTTCTGATCAATTTCTATCTGTGGTGTGAACTAGTGGCAATTGATGACAAATCTGTTCTGGGTTCATGTGTGGTTGATTGGGATATGAATTAAAAATGTTGTTCTGTTTTGCATAAGTAATTTACTTGACTTAACCATGAGAGAAGAGGAATCCTCTTCTAAATTGAACAAGTACCCGAGTTAAGTGACACCATCAAAACTGATTTGCTACTTTTGTGCACTGAAGTTTGAGTTCATAGTATTGGTCTGGAGCAGCAGGCCTATTGCATTCCTTGACATAATGACGGTGTGGTGATTGGATGTAACCAGATCTCTGCCATTACTATTCTAACTTTTAAGTTTTTCCTGTCTATTTAATCAGTATGAATGTAAAATGTATATTTTTGGTGGTCAGTTGATTTTTTTCTGACTCATAGCTAATGAGTTTGAACCAATACAGGACGGATCATCTTTAGTCTGGATTTCTAGTAGTGGAGAAAGAAGTTTGAAGTTAGCTTTAGTCTCAAGAATTATTCCTGGACAAAGAACTGTGAGATTTCTGTTATAAATTCCTCTTTTGCAGTGTTGGGATATTTTGATTCTGAATGAGCCTGGCATATCTGCTTTTTTACAATTTCAGTATTTTGTTCTTATTGGTGTGTTGAAAGAGATGTTTCAACTAAAGCTTGTTCTAACTTTTCTTTTTGATATTATCAGGCTGTTTTCCAACGATATCTGTGTCCTGAAAAGGACTACTTGTCTTTTTCTCTCATATACGACGACGGAAAACGATCTCTTGACCTGGTAAGTTATAAACTTTGAGTTTGTTCTTCATTTCTTGATCAGTGGCTTTCCTCTGGTTTCTACTTGAATTAGTAATGGTTTTCTATTGTTGATTTTCAGATCTGTAAGGACAAAGTTGAGGCACAGGTGTGGATTGCTGGCCTTAAAGCATTAATATCCTCTGGGCAAGGTGGGCGCTCAAAAATTGATGGATGGAGTGATGGAGTCCTCTGCTTTTATGTAACTTTACCAGCCTTGAAACTTCTTTCTAATTTGTATTTTGGGGTGTCCTTTTTCTTTGTGTGGTGTAGTGCTAAAAAAGTACTTTGCGTGCAAGTGCTGACTCCTGAGAAAGAAGTTGTGTTAAATGTGGGAACATATTTGTGGTTGGGATATGAACATATATTCTTGGATTGTATGGTTCAGCTTTGGAAGGGGGAAGTTCCTTACTGCAAACAAGCAGTTTTATGCCTATAGTTACTAATTATCGAATGGCATCATCTTTCTTACTATTCCCATCATGGATTTATCAGTTTTGGAAGACTGGGGCCTTAAAAACCAGTCTTCCAAACTTGTTATTCTCCAATGCTGTCCAACAATTCTTATCCTACCTATTGAATTATTATTATTTGTATGATTCATTTGCATCAAAGAAGAATTAAGTTGAGTCTACTGCCAATGAGTACCTTCGCAAAGATTAAACTGTGCGAACCATGGCTATACAATAGACTTGTAAAAAAATATGATGTGAATATGATTGATGACACAGGGAACTCTTCCGTTTAATTTAGGTGTCTTGGGGTGGAAATTGCATCGACTGACTAGCAATGGAGTTAAAATCCTATTTAAAACTCACAAGAAATTTAGCTTGCTTGTTGTTTTCTGCTATCCTGAATGCTGTGCTTCATGTTTCATACGTAATATTCTGGTCAATTGATTTCAGGACAACACAGAATTGATATCCAATAGTGCAAGCGACAGCTCAGTAAGTGCTACAAGAGATATTAGTTCTTCAGAGGTTTCTGTCAGTTCCAACACAATTACTTCTCCCAAGAGCAACATGCCTGAGAATCCTGTGCATTCTGAAAGACCACATGTAGCTTTGGACCAAATAAATATGCAAGGAAAAGGTTCTGGTTCAGATGCTTTTCGGGTTAGTGTTTCTAGTGCCCCAAGCACCTCTAGTCATGGTTCTGGCCTGGATGACTGTGATGCTTTAAGGGATGTATATATATGGGGTGAGGTAATATGTGATACTATTGTAAGGGTTGGGCCTGATAAAAATACAAATTCTTTGAGCTCAAGAGCTGATGTGTTGCTTCCCAGACCATTAGAGTCCAATGAAGTTTTGGATGTACATCATATAGCGTGTGGGGTCCGGCATGCTGCTTTAGTCAGTAGGCAAGGTGAAGTTTTCACATGGGGTGAAGAATGTGGAGGACGGCTTGGCCATGGTGTTCGGAAAGATTTTACTCAACCTTGCTTAGTTGAATCATTAGCAGTTTGCAGTGTTGATTTTGTTGCATGTGGAGAATTTCATAGTTGTGCTGTTACAATGTCTGGTGAACTCTACACGTGGGGAGATGGGGCACATAACGCAGGGCTTCTTGGTCATGGTACTGATGTCAGTCACTGGATACCCAAGAGAATTGCTGGTCCCCTTGAGGGGCTTCAAGTTGCTATGGTTTCTTGCGGTCCGTGGCATACAGCCCTGATAACTTCAACAGGACAGCTCTTTACATTTGGTGATGGAACTTTTGGTGTTTTGGGCCATGGAGACAGGGAAAATGTTTCATACCCTAGGGAGGTTGAATCTCTTTCAGGCTTGAGGACAATTGCCATTGCATGTGGAGTGTGGCACACTGCTGCTGTGGTGGAGGTTATCGTAACCCAGTCTAGTGCAAGCGTTTCATCTGGAAAGCTGTTTACTTGGGGCGACGGAGATAAAAATCGTCTTGGACATGGAGACAAGGAACCTCGGCTTAAACCTACGTGTGTCTCAGCACTTATCGATTACAATTTTCAGAAAATTGCTTGTGGGCATAGTTTAACTGTTGGCTTGACCACATCTGGGGATGTGTTCACAATGGGGAGTACCGTTTATGGTCAGCTTGGTAACCCCCAATCTGATGGAAAGCTACCTTGCTTGGTGGAAGATAAGCTTCATGGGGAATCAGTTGAAGAAATTGCCTGTGGTGCCTATCATGTGGCAGTATTAACATCTAGAAATGAGGTCTATACTTGGGGAAAAGGAGCTAATGGGAGATTGGGCCATGGAGATATTGAGGATCAGAAAACACCTACTTTAGTTGAAGCTTTAAAAGACAGACACATCAAATATATTGCTTGTGGGTCAAACTACACGGCAGCTATATGTCTTAACAAATTGGTTTCTGTTGCTGACCATTCTCAGTGTTCAGCTTGTAGACAGGCTTTTGGCTTTACCAGAAAGAGGCACAACTGCTATAACTGTGGGCTTGTGCACTGCCACTCTTGCAGTTCCAGAAAAGCATTAAGAGCTGCACTGGCTCCTACTCCCAGCAAACCATATCGTGTGTGTGATTCTTGTTTTGCCAAACTGAGCAAGATGGCAGAAGCTGGTGGTAATAATAGGAGAAATTCTGTACCTCGCCTTTCAGGTGAAAACAAAGACAGATTAGACAAGGCTGAGATACGATTAGCCAAGTCGGCAATGCCATCCAATCTAGATTTAATTAAGCAGTTAGATAATAAAGCAGCCAAGCAAGGAAAGAAAGCTGATACGTTCTCATTTGGTCGTGCCTCTCAAGCTCTTTCTTTGTTACAGCTGAAAGATGTTGTTTTGTCTACTGCTGTTGATATGCGTCGAATAGTTCCCATGCCAGTTGTTACACCTTCTGGTGTTAGTTCCAGGTCAGTGTCACCTTTCTCACGGAAACCTAGCCCCCCGCGCTCAGCAACACCCATTCCTACTGCATCAGGACTTTCTTTTTATAAAAGCGGCAGTGATAGTTTGAAGAAGACTAACGAACTTTTGAATCAAGAAATTCTCAAATTACGTGCTCAGGTACATTCAGAACTTTTTTGAAGAATGCCTTAACGTTTTCCGTTGAAATAAATTCATTATCAGTTGATGATCATGTTTGCGATTCAGGTTAACAGCCTGAGACATCGTTGTGAACTTCAAGAATTGGAGTGTCAGAAATCAACTGAGAAAGCTCAGGAAGCTATGGCTATGGCTGTGGAGGAATCTGCCAAGTCCCGAGCTGCCAAAGAAGTGATAAAATCACTTGCAGCACAGGTTGGTTTTGTTTATACTTTGCTTGAAATGTGATATCGTCACTGAGAACTTTTGGACCTGCTTTGTGTTCTAAGTGTGTAGAAGTTGGATGTGGAGTATTTTGCTGTCTGTCACTATGTGATATTTCATGGAACTTATGAAGTATAGATACGGATACAGATACGATACAATATGGATACAACAATAAGATAAAATCTAAAAAAATAGAATACAGAGATGTCGAAGATACGTCTATAATAAAATGTATTTTATATTTTTACTACAATTTGGAAAATTCATAATTGTAATTTCTAATAAATTCTATAAAATTGTACAAAAAATTAGTAATTTTTACTTTCAAGGAATTGATCATTTCATTATGGTACACCCATAAAGTGAATGTGACTAATTTAAGAAATCAGAACCAAGGTTTAACTAGTTGGTCTATTTAAAAATTCTTATTGCAAAGTGATATGGTGTAACCAACACATTTTATGCCCTTTTAACATTTGATGGTAGATACTACTAAAGAAACACCTGTGTTTTCAAAGTCATATGATTTTACTTTATGTGTTGCATTATAAATGACTGTGAAAGGAAAAGACAAAGATTTTATTAAAAATTATAGATATTACTCTGCATATGCACTTTATATACGAAGCATATGCTTTATGGATATGTATCGGTGAAGTATCCAAATATTTTATTATTATCTGATACGTATAGCGTGTATCTAATACTTATCTTTGAGTATTTAGCGTGTATCATATCGGATACGGTATTTGATATAAATAAGTCTGACATTTACAAAGTATATCTGTTGTTCGTAACGTAGTACTGATGTAAGGGTGTATGGAAACCCGGGTTCTACTAATCAACACTTCATTCCTATTCCAGCTCAAAGATATGGCTGAGAGGTTGCCACCTGGGGTTTATGACACAGACTGCATGAGGCTGGCTTCCCTGTCTAATGGCTTGGAGCCAAATGGCGTTAACTATGTTGATGCAAATGGAGAGCATCCTTCAAGATCTGATAAAAGGAACAGCTCTTGCTTAGCCTCGCCTACAGGAATCGAGACTGCTGCAGTAAATGGAACACGGCCCCCAACTGAGTTGTTGAGGGGGACAGCTGGAAGCAAGGAAACTAACCCATACAATCAAAGCCAGTGGCTTTTAAACTCGAATCAGAGGGATGATCATTCAGATGTCAAACTTCCCAATGGCGATGTAGGGGTTCAAGGAGAAAACCATGTTGAGGCTGTTCACAGCAAGGAATCTGGGCCTCTCAAAGACGGTGAGAATGGCATAGAATCTAGGAATTCTGAAGTGCCTGTTAACAATGATCAAGTTGAGGCTGAGTGGATTGAACAGTATGAGCCTGGTGTATATATAACACTTGTAGCTCTCCGGGACGGAACTAGAGATCTTAAGCGAGTGCGCTTCAGGTATGTAGCTGAATTGTTTTCCAATCATCTTATTTGCACTCACATGATTGTTACCATCAAATAGATAAGAAAGATCACTGCAATTGACTGAATATCAGTGACTTGTGTGGAAGAGTGATTATTGCCATGAGGTTAGACCTTGGTATTTTACCTCATTAGGATTGATGATTGAAAAATAGCCCGAGTTTCCAAGTCAAGTGTTCCAAAACCATCACTTAGGTCTAATGATAATTTGTTGATACAGGTTGGTATCGTGTAGTTTGTTAGCCTCGCACACTGCATTTTGATGTACAACATTTATTAAGTCATGACAATCTGATATTGAAATTGTTATCTGCAGCCGGAGAAGATTTGGAGAGCACCAGGCAGAGACTTGGTGGTCAGAGAACCGTGAAAAGGTTTATGAAAGGTACAATGTTCGGGGATCAGACAAGTCATCAGTCTACGGCCAGTCTGCTCGTAGATCTGAAGGAGCTGTCTCGCCATCTAGCCAACTTTGAAGAAACTAATGGAGGAAGTTCTTGGTCGACACTTCTTCTGCAACTGTCGTTATGAAGGTTTAAAGGCTGAGCAGACCCCCCCATGGGAACGCGGCAAACACTCGTTTCTCCTCCTCCTTTTTTCTGTCTTTCTTCATTTCCGTTCCAGTTTTCATAATTTAATTTCTTGTTCAAATTAATTTTCAGGGAATCTTCCCTTTACCTATCTGTTGTAGTNTCCAGTTTTCATAATTTAATTTCTTGTTCAAATTAATTTTCAGGGAATCTTCCCTTACCTATCTGTTGTAGTGTAGTGTATATAAAATCTTCCATTCTTATAATCTCAGCGGAAAAGTTTTTGTTTCTTTGTCCCAACCATACTCACATAATCCTTCTACATTCTTAATACGCTCGTGTTCTGCTTGTCTGGCAGCGGATTCTCCATGAATTCGTGCTCTCATTTTATCGTGAATTCGACTAGTTTGTGCTCTTGTTTCCTTATATGCTTATTTATTTATTATTATTCAATTTTTTATTTGGGAAGTATTGATCTAGAGCTAAGATTTTATCGCCAGAGGGCCAGGGCCGAACAGAAGCGAATGCACAGTTAAAAATTTTGTTTTTCGACGTCATTGAATGAGTTATGGTTTATGTCGAAGAATACATCAAAATTGATTTTACATGGCATTGTAGTCAAGTTCATAAAAAAGAATAAACATTAATTATTTTCTTTCCATCATAAAAATTATTCTATAACAATGTTATGGTTCACTTATTCTATCATTTTTTACATGACGCAATAACTAAGAATAAACTATGGTCTTAAATGTTAGTTCCTTAGGATACCACTGTAAAATTAATTATGACTAAATGCATTATTGATAATATAAGTCACGTATATAATTTGATTGTGGAACAATTTTTATTTTTTATTTTTTGTCTTTAGTCTTAAGACTCATCAAAACACGTGTCTTCACCTATAAAACACACTCGTTCAAGTGATTAATATCCTATATTTCATCATCAAATGTAAGGTTATTCAGCTTTTTGAACAAACTAATTGACTCTTCCAATACATAGACATTTTAGAAAATTTAAGGGAAGCTAGAGAATATTTTACTAAAACTTAAGGGGAAGCATAGGGTATTTTTAAGAAGTGGGATTTTGT